GTCCGTTGGACAATTCACTAGTCCTTACATATTATGACGTTCTTAAAGTTACTATTCCCCGTTAGGACTATTCAATAGCGAACCCTTCTTCCCTCTGTCACTCTTATATTCATTCGGTCTACTTGCGTAAAGATCTTATAGTAGAAACCGTGATCCTGTGCCATGTGGTATCATCAGTTGGGTATACATTATATTGTTTATGTCATTATATTATGCAATACATGATTTGAGTAAAAGTCGTCAGCTTTGTGGGCATATCGGGTTGGCCTATGTTTATAGACCAAGTGGTACCTAGGTGTTGATGTGGTCAACATCACACCTGCCGCCTTTACTTCCCATTACTATACCTGGTGTCCGTTAAGGCGAAGTCGACCTGGGTTTTGGGACTCGAACTAATAACTGTCCAATCCGCAGGCGAATGTGTGTCCGCTTAATTATGTCAAGTTTTATATGATCGTGCCATAATTTAGATAGGTATAAACCAACATATTATAATAGGGTGGAGATGTATAATTTTGATTTACTTGTAGGGAAAGACAACATATGAACCTTGTTCTTTCTTGCTTACTACTCTGAAAAACACCACAGACACCGCAACACCTCCACCTGCTCCAGATGTGTCGACATAATGCTCAACACAGGGCTGAATGATGTATTCCGCAGGTTCCCGTGTTACCGTAGTCCTGCCTGCCTGTTTACCAGAGGACCAAAATCCCGTGCTCCCGTATTCAAGTCTGCCTGTTTACCAGAGGACCAAAATCCCGTGCTCCCGTATTCAAGTCTGCCTGTTTACCAGAGGACCATAATCCCGTATTCCCGTTTTACGCTATGCCTGTTACCTGTGGATTGTGAACCACCATCCCTGTTACCTGTGGATTGTGAACCACCATCCCTGTTACCTGTGGATCGTGAGCTGCCATTCCTGTTACCTTGTGAATTGGGAACCAGACGGTATAGAATGAACAACCGAGATCTCACAGATGAATGTCGCAGTTAGGCGAGGACTATAACAGTCGCAGCCAGAATCTTGTACATTCCTCCCAGAGAAGCTGCAGTTGGACACATCCCGTATATCGTAAAGCTGAGTGTGAGTGTTACTGAATATTTGTATAAATTAATGTGGTGTCATGATGATACATTTATTTATTTTCTCTGTGTTAATTTGAAAATTGTTGAATTCAATATCAGTATTTTATCAATACAGTTGTGGTTTAGAAATTCCATTTATTGATTTCATCGTATCAAATTTACTTCTTAGGTAGACTAAAGATTGTTCATTGCAATTTATTGAGTTAAATTTACAAAGTTTTGACTTTGGTGGTTTTCTGAATTTCTTTAGGACATTTTCGGGGATTCACCCTATTCTTTAACTTTCTGTATTCTCCTTCCTCTATTTTCCAGAACTCAGGGACCGTTATAATTCCCCTAGACTTAATTAATTCGAGCCCTGTAAGTTAATTTGGAAGGATATAGGGGATCTCCAGGCGACGATAGATTCCGCCAAAAATAGTTGATCACAATTGGGGTCTCTTACGCGGGATTTTCAGAAGTTAGGTCATTAAAAGTAGTTATTAATAGGAAATTGGTAGGAATTTAAAGGTAAATAATATTAGGCAAAAATTAACTTTAGGGAAAATAATATAATAACTTTACACTGGTGTTTATTTGATTGGTGTTTGCGTGTGTTCTTTTGAAGTATATTCTGCAGGTAAAATGGCAACAAGACCCTCACTTATAGAGTTGGCGGAGCTGGGGAAAACTCTCGGGTATGCTGGCGAAGAATTAAAGGCATATCTTCAAGAAATACAGAGAGAATGGAGACAGGAGGACCGTGAACGGCGTCAAGAGGAGAAAGAGCGAGAGGAGAGAGAAAGAGAAAGACAAGAACGCATAAGATTAGCTGAGATAACTGCTGAGAAAGAGCGAGATGAGAGAGAGAGAGAGAGAGAGAAAGACAAGAACGCATCAGACTAGCTGAGATAGCTGCTGAGAAAGAACGAGAGATGAGAGCTCATGAACTCCGTCTCAGAGAGCTTGATTTACAATCTCAGTCTACCTCTAGTACAGCAGTTAATGCGCAACCTTCTGTCTCTGAGGCACATTCTTTTGGCCATCCTCACCTTCTTGGGCCGATGTCTTTTCCTTTTCCTCAGTTTAATGAACGCGAGGATAGAATGGATGTGTTTTTGGAAAAATTCGAAAACGTTGCTAGGTCTTATTTGTTGGATAAAGAGAAGTGGTGTCTGAAACTTTCACTGTCTTTAAGAGGTCCTTCTTATGAATGTTATTCGAGATTGCCTCCTGGTCAAGAGACCAACTTCGAGTTCTTGAAAAATTCTTTGCTGAAGAGATATGAGTTGACGGCCTCTGCATATCGTAACAAATTTCGTAATGCTAAAAGAGAGCCGGGAGAAACCATTTCTCAATTCTTTTCAAGAATTAAATCTTATCTGCTGAAATGGCAGAGTTTAGCATCATTCACCCAGACCTATGAAGATTTAGAGGAAATGATGTTGGCTGAACAGCTAAAAGAGTCCATGTCAAAACCTCTCCAAACCTTTCTGACTGAGAATGGTGCGGAAAGAATTGCGGACATATTAAAGCTGGCTGAGAGATTTGATTTGGCACACCCTGAACAGGTGGGCGCCAGGGCAAAGATGCACCTTTCAAAATCCCCTCCCAAATTTACCGAAAAGCCAACAGAACGTAACACACATAGGGAACCTGAATTTCGTAATGGTAAGTTCAACACACCAAACACTAACAACACCAATCATAAGTACCATCCACAAGATAATCGAAGGGGTGACGGTCGTGGTCAGCAATCGTCAGAGTGGAGGGGCCGGCTTTACTGTAAGTATTGTCGTCTGAATACACATAATACAGCAGACTGCCGAAAGAAACCCCCTCAACTCTGCGCCGCCTGTTTAACTAATGATAAACAGGAAAATACCAGGATGAACTCTCATGATGGGGAGAGACCTCCTGTTGTAGATACCATTCTTTTGAACGGCAGAGAAGTAACCTGCCTGTTTGACACTGGTCTGTTATTCGATGCCTTGGTTTCTACCGAACTCGTTGACCCAACGCAGTACACTGGGGAATTTATAGAGATGCAGACTGCTGCACAGGAGTCTGAGACATTAAGATTACCTCTTGCCAAGGTAAACATTGACTGCAAATATGTAAAAGGAACTATTGTCGCGGGTTGTCTCCCTAACCCAATATTTCCCGTTTTACTAGGATGCAAATATTTGTATCTTGCAGTTCCAAAGACGCCTATGCTAGTTGGGGCCATGGATACCCGGTCATCAACCAAAGCATCAGCAGTATCTGATCCAGAACCCCAGAATCCTTTACCAAAGGACATAAGTGCTGCGCAACAACAGGACTCATCATTAAAGTCCTGCTTCCGGAAGTTGCCTTATGCCCATCAACCTCCTGAAAAAGGAGACTTCTATATGAAGAAAAATTTATTGTACCGGAGAGCAGGGATAGCAGAACGAGAGTATGGCCAACTCGTTGTTCCCTTGTCCTACCGGAAAACTATCCTCCATATGGGACACACATTAGCATATAGTGGCCATATGGGGATAGCGGCAACTTCCCAGAGAATTTCCTGTCATTATTATTGGCCAGGAATGACGGGGGACATTAGGAGATATGTAAGCTCGTGTCCAGAATGTCAACGAGTATCTCCGAGACATTCAAACCCGCCGGTAACATTGGAGGACATGCCCATTATGCATGAGCCTTTCCAAAGAGTAGCGGTCGACATCATTGGACCTCTGCCTCGGACGAGGAAGAGGAATGTTTATATCCTAACGATAGTCGATGCTGGCACATTGTGGAGTGAAGTGGTAGCGCTGCCCACAATCGATGCGAAGAGAGTTGCAGATGCTCTCATTACAATATTCACTAGACTAGGATTTCCTAACCAAATCCTAACTGATAAAAAATCCCAGTTTCGGGGAAAACTGATGGATGATGTACTCCAGATTTTCCAGAACAGCCATATCCCTACGAGTCTGTACCATGCTCAGAACCAGGGAACAGCAGAGAAATTGACTAGACCTCTAGTCACTCTTTTGAGAGAATTGTCTCAGATAAAAGTAGACATGTGGGATGAATATCTTCCGGCAGCCCTCTCTGCATATAGGGAAGTTCCCAATACCACAACAGGTGTTCCTCCAGAGACCTTGTTGTTTGGTCGTCCAATTCAAGGGCCATTGTCAGCCCTGTTGCAGTCATGGACGAATGAGAAGTTGGACCAGACTGTGGTAACCACTTCCAAATACGTGGAAGAACTGAAAGCGAAAATAAAATTAGGCTGGAACTTGGTTGGAAAATGCTGGAAGAAAATTAAAGCAAAGTTGACTTCTAATTTTAGAAGAAAGGTGAAAAGTAGGAATCTGAAAGTGGGAGATAAAGTTATGGTGTTGTTACCATCAGTCAGTGATAAAATGGAAATTGGTTTTCAGGGACCTTTTCCTGTGGTGGATAAAGTTTCCCGCAGAAAGTTTGCCATTTCCATAAATGGGAAAGTAAGAAGTTTTCATATAAACTTACTTAAGAAATTCCAGGAGAATATGTTTGGTTCTCCGTAACGGGGGTTATCCATTTAGCTAATGGGGTACTGAATCTTGAGGTAGTGATATTGCATGGAAAAGGTAACAATATCTAGATACACACATAATATAATCAATGTCAAATGATTTCTTGAAATAAAAGAATTGTATATATCAAATTCAGTTCTCAAGAGAGTAAGGACACGATCCTTGTGGGAGACTCCGCACAGCGCAGCCATCCCTGACTGAATAAATGATACCTTCTATTATAAAGAATGAAAGTTGAGTCACTAGGTAACTAAAATATTAAATTAGTTTGCCGACTTTAACTTAATGATATAAAATAATTCTTCTTTTACGTTCGGGTCTCAAATGAGCGAGAACATGTGCCATGTGAGAGGTTTTGCTAGCTAGCTAGGAATCCTCCCTGACTGAAAAGTTTTCGGTTCTCGAGCGAGCTTGGTCTTGATTCTTGTAGGAGATTTCGTCAGATGACTGAAATTCTGTCCTAACCGAATGAGATGATCTAGATACACATATAAGCACCGGAATTCCAGCAATCACTGTGAAATACATGTAGGCTCCTCCCAAGATGAAGTAACCTCTTTCGTTGAGAACTCTCCGTTTAATTTTAAACAACATCATTCGGACACAATGTCCACAAAATTAAAATTTTATACACATAAATTTTATATGTGCATAGTGGATGATGAAATGTGTGAGATTGCAAGAAAATAATAATTTGATTTTTAACTCTTTGGGAACTGAAATTTCCTCTATTTAAATTTCGTAACTGAAATTTTCTTTTCCGGGGGCATATGTGACAAAACGGGAGAAATATTTCAGTCCGGCAAGAGTTAATTGCAAGTTTTAGTTAAAAGAATTGCGCACGTAAAATAAATATATTTAAACATAGACGCTAAAAGAATAAAAAGGTACAAAGGCGCACATAATTTATGACGTTTTGTGGTGTTACTAGGAGACCTAATTTCGTCACAACACAGAACGATTGCCAGCCATACCATCGGCCTAACACCCACAATAAATAATACCTTATACGAGTTCAGGTGAGATTTATAATGGTAGGGAGTAGCTGAGATCCCCTATAAGCCTTAGCTGTATCCTAAAATATTTTATTGAGATCCTACTATTCTATATTCTACCATTGTATAAATATTCCGTAACTTCATCAACCTTGATACTTGTCCGTTGGACAATTCACTAGTCCTTACATATTATGACGTTCTTAAAGTTACTATTCCCCGTTAGGACTATTCAATAGCGAACCCTTCTTCCCTCTGTCACTCTTATATTCATTCGGTCTACTTGCGTAAAGATCTTATAGTAGAAACCGTGATCCTGTGCCATGTGGTATCATCAGTTGGGTATACATTATATTGTTTATGTCATTATATTATGCAATACATGATTTGAGTAAAAGTCGTCAGCTTTGTGGGCATATCGGGTTGGCCTATGTTTATAGACCAAGTGGTACCTAGGTGTTGATGTGGTCAACATCACACCTGCCGCCTTTACTTCCCATTACTATACCTGGTGTCCGTTAAGGCGAAGTCGACCTGGGTTTTGGGACTCGAACTAATAACTGTCCAATCCGCAGGCGAATGTGTGTCCGCTTAATTATGTCAAGTTTTATATGATCGTGCCATAATTTAGATAGGTATAAACCAACATATTATAATAGGGTGGAGATGTATAATTTTGATTTACTTGTAGGGAAAGACAACATATGAACCTTGTTCTTTCTTGCTTACTACTCTGAAAAACACCACAGACACCGCAACACCTCCACCTGCTCCAGATGTGTCGACATAATGCTCAACACAGGGCTGAATGATGTATTCCGCAGGTTCCCGTGTTACCGTAGTCCTGCCTGCCTGTTTACCAGAGGACCAAAATCCCGTGCTCCCGTATTCAAGTCTGCCTGTTTACCAGAGGACCAAAATCCCGTGCTCCCGTATTCAAGTCTGCCTGTTTACCAGAGGACCATAATCCCGTATTCCCGTTTTACGCTATGCCTGTTACCTGTGGATTGTGAACCACCATCCCTGTTACCTGTGGATTGTGAACCACCATCCCTGTTACCTGTGGATCGTGAGCTGCCATTCCTGTTACCTTGTGAATTGGGAACCAGACGGTATAGAATGAACAACCGAGATCTCACAGATGAATGTTCTCGCAGTTAGGCGAGGACTATAACAGTCGCAGCCAGAATCTTGTACATTCCTCCCAGAGAAGCTGCAGTTGGACACATCCCGTATATCGTAAAGCTGAGTGCTGAGTGTTACTGAATATTTGTATAAATTAATGTGGTGTCATGATGATACATTTATTTATTTTCTCTGTGTTAATTTGAAAATTGTTGAATTCAATATCAGTATTTTATCAATACAGTTGTGGTTTAGAAATTCCATTTATTGATTTCATCGTATCAAATTTACTTCTTAGGTAGACTAAAGATTGTTCATTGCAATTTATTTGAGTTAAATTTACAAAGTTTTGACTTTGGTGGTTTTTCTGAATTTCTTTAGGACATTTTCGGGGATTCACCCTATTCTTTAACTTTCTGTATTCTCCTTCCTCTATTTTCCAGAACTCAGGGACCGTTATAATTCCCCTAGACTTATTTAATTCGAGCCCTGTAAGTTAATTTGGAAGGATATAGGGGATCTCCAGGCGACGATAGATTCCGCCTTAGGATCTTATGAAAAATAGTTGAGAAGAAGCAACAAGATGATAGTTCTACGTAGGGTTTCCCTTGGTCTTCCACGAGATCTTTTCCAGTGTGGTGTCCAAATGAGGGCTTGGTAAGGAAGTCTTGATTTATCCATTCTAAGGGTGTGGCCGACATAGTTCCAGCGGCATTTTCGTATAAAATTAGACACATACTCTTGCCTGGATTCTTGCCTTATTTGTGTATTGGTTCGGAAATCTGACCATTTGAAATTTAGTATTCTTCTAAGGCATTTATTTTCAAAACTGTCTAATTTTGTGTCTAGCGTTTTCGTTGATTTCCAGCTCTCGCATCTTGACACAAACCGGAAACCTTCTAGGCCTAGTTAAAGTAAATATTTGAGATAGAAAATAAAGTAGTAATAACAAAAGTGTAAGTATATATAATAAATATCCTGTGAAAAAGAAGTACTGATTTGCAGCAATACCATCAGGGACTACCTAACAACAACAAAAACACCAACTTGTACAATGCACTGGAAAAAGCACATAAGCAATCTATACATCTCCCCCAACACCTCGCTAAGGTAAATAGTGGAAGAGAAGAAGGAGAGGAACGAACGAACGAACTTTATTTTCAAAGGGTCACAAATTGGGCACGCAGGCCCGTCTTACATTCGGCCCTTCCAGTCAACCATCTTTCGCACAGCAGTTGTTTTTTACTAATAAAGCATGTTATGATCATATGATAATATGCATATTATGAATATTATAAAAGAACACAAAAGCGTGAGTTAAAGTGCATGCAAAAACCCGCGCGTGCATACATACACCCACATACACACGATCACCCACTCAAACGCACATACATGCATGCAAACATTACTTACATACATACTTACATACGTACATACAAACAAACATGCAAACAGGCATACATACATACAAACAAACATACATAGATACAAACATACATACATTCGTAATACAGGCATACACACATACAAACATACAGTCATAAATACAGTCATGCATGGAGACACTCCCACAAAGACACACACGCTCACTTAGACAAAAATACAGACACACACACAGACTCTTACATATACACACACAGGAAAACACACAGCACACATATTTACATTCGTACTCACACACTTACACACACACCACACACAAACATGCAGACACATACATACAGCCACATAGACACACACGCAGTCAAACACACAAACACACAAATACAAACAGGCAGACAAACACATTCTGACACCCACACAGACAAACACGCAGAAATGCATACACATACAAACACAGAGAAATACACACGCAGACACATATTCAGCACGCACAGACATATACTCTGACATGCAGACACATACAGACAACAAAGGGGCACACACAATACACACAGAGAAACACACATAGACATACACAGACAGACACATGCTGACACATACACTCACGCAGACAGACATACAGACACCCACACACAGAGATACATACAGACAGCCTCATAGACACACCCGCAGACAAAACACATAAACATACACAGGCCAACATGCAGACGAACACATACGAGGACATACACAGACACAAACGAAGATATACAGTCACATGAAAATATGCAGAAAAACACCGAGACACACACACATGCAGACAAACACAGAGACACATACACAGACACATATACACAGCTACATGGATCCAATCGCGCACACACACACACGCAGACACACATACACAGCAAAGGAAGAAGAAGAAGGAGAGGAAGAAGAAGAAGAAGGTTATAGAAAGATTAAGCATGACAGGAGTAAACAGAGTATTAAAAAACTACTAACATGACTCTTAAGCTTATGATGGCATGATCACATTACTTACCTACTACAGTAATTTTTAATTTAAAAAAAAAAAAAAGTTACAAGAATCTGTAAATTATAATTAGTTGAAATAATATTTTGAAAAAATAAATAACATAAATTTTTAATCACATTTATTGTGTAGTATAACTCCAATAATGTGTATGAGAAAGGTGGAGACAGGTATGCTCCATGCAGAGGAACAAGCATCACTTCAGAGGTCCAGGGTAGCTAACATCCTGTGAATAATTTCTCCAGGGCAAGCCGGTGTGTTGGGAAATGAAGACAGCGATAGATTGGCTGGTTCTGCACTGCTTAGTGGTAAACTGATGCATGACAAGCTAGATGTTGCAATGGTCTTCTGAGATTGAGTAAACAATGCAGAGGAACAAACAGATCTTCATAGTCTGAAGAGAATCGTGCAGTGAGGAGTGGCCATGGACACTTGCGGACACTTAACACTAAGAGGAGGAACGAGAAGGACATACAATCACTTTTATTGGTCAGAAATGGAACTCGGCTCTTGCTGAATATAGGGATGGAGCGTTTATGGGAATGACCAGGGTGTTATGATGTCGATTATTAACCCAGTAGTAGTGCATAATAAAACACCTTCACTGCTTCTTGTTGGCCCAAAGGTCTAGGTTAGTATCTGCACAGGGACAGATGTTTATATAAATGACAATGGCTTCCAGATCGACCCAGCCTATTATTCATTGTCCTGTTACGACATTATTATGTGTCACACAGGACTCACGGTCTATTCCTCCATTGCATCCTGTGCAATCAACTCGATATTATATACGGAATCCATTCCAGCAGCTTTAGTCTCTCCCATCAACTTTTATTTTAGGGTTTATTTTTGTGCGTCCTCGCCTCCTTAATCCCTTCATTTCCCATTTCAAAGCCTGTTTGGTGCTTCTCTGCTGGCTTCTTCTCAGTATGTGTCCAATATAGCGCTATCTTCTCTTCCTTATACCTGTTGATACTCCAGCCTATTTGGGTCCAGGAAACATCATGAGAAGAGCAGCCAGCATGGCATAGTACTGACATCCCTAACAAGTTGACTGCTCTTTACAAATATGAGGCTTCCCCATGTGGACTCTAGGGGGGAAAAGAACAAAACCACTGTCCCACTAAAAAACATGTCATAAAAGACAAGTAACTGGTTTTTTTCCCTTCAGTCAAGCTGCGTCTGCCTGAAAGGAGAAAGGAGCCAACAGTCTACATAAAACTAAACAGATCTGTTAAATGGATGGGCACACAAAACTCTCACATTCTGGAACATAATTAAAATCCAGAAGTGGATGACTACCCAGAACTTTCCATCGGAGTTTACAGCCGATGAATGTGAAGAGGATGTTCCTAGAGGGGTGTGTAAATGGTGAGTTCTAGTCGCAGCTGAACTAGCAGTGCTTTATGCAACAATCTTTGATTTTGTTCTGTTTTGTGGTAACTGCTGCTTCCATTGACAATCAACTGCACTTTTAGTGGTGGACTTGCTGTTATACCTCTAGTGGTTGCCTTATGCATTCAATCATCATTATCAAGTGTCTTGCCAGCTAGCAAAGGGATTCATGCATCTCCACAGATCTCGGTCTTGATGTTCTTGATCAATTGCACTGATGATATTTCTCCATGCCACTGTCTCAAGCCATCCACCATTGTTTCTCTTGGTCTGCCTCTGCTACCAGTTGTCACAATATTTTCTACTGTTCCTTTTCTCATGCATTGCATCGTGTGTGTAATTAATTTTATCTTTGCCAGGACTGCATTCTGATCAATTTTTCTTTCACATGAGACAGTGATTTGAATGGAGAAATTAAGGGGTGACACATTTGCCATGAATATGCAACCGTAAGCAAACCATTTTTAGTTACCTTTTCATACAAAGTTTTATAGTTTGACTTCTCATTGGCTAAGAGTCTTTCAAACACCTCTGGGTTGTTTTCTGAAACAAACAGAACAATTTGTAAACAATAAAAACTTTTCTTTAGAAAGACAAAAGGTGAAAATTAATCACATGCCAACAAGTCTTGGGATCAAAAGAACAGTTTCATACCAACAACAACCATGCATTTCTCTCATTTGAAAAAGAAAGCTAAGTTACACTCCATAAATTTTTCAAGAAATCTACATTGTTGGATTTATGACACTAACATAACTAGTATGTAAACACAAAGCAAAGTAATATCACCATTCAAATATTTGTTCACACAGCATTTAACGCAGAATTAAAAATAGTTACAGATTATACAGTGCAGACCTGATAAGGTGAACTCACTGAAAGGTTTTTCTTTAAAAAAAAAATTCCTCGTATCCAGATAAGATTTGTAGCGAAGAAAACTGCCAGGAATAAACAAACTGTTCCTTCACAAAAGAAATTCACTGCATCCAAGAGCACCGTAAGTGGTCTGCACTGTACACAATACTAACAATAAATATTTTCTCATTAGCAATAAACTTTTATTCTTATTTATTTCTTATTAAGATAGCACACACAAACACACCAGGAGACCAAAAATACAAGAACTTTTTTATATAGTCCATAGCATGAAGGGGTGCCAACAGACAAACTGATACATGCAGTTGTGGATCACAGATTGCGGAGACGCATGATCGCCCACACCAGTCGGCAAGGTACTTGATGATGATGAGAAGCTGGATGAGGTATCTGGGATTTACCATCCAGACTGAGATTTGTGTGTTTAAACCTTTAGGTTAGCACGCCAGAGGAGACAAATCAAACGATCAACTGCTAACATCTAAGGTTCTCACTCTCTGTCCACCACCTACCATCAGAAGCACCAGCGATGATTCCTCCATCCAGGCTGTCATTGATGTCTTGCTGATATTTATCCTCTGCATTTTCCTGAAGACTGATGGTGGTCTCAAAGCGGATCTCAGCCAAAGGCAGCAAGGCTGGATGATAGTGATGCAACAGACAACACAGAGCCCGGCCATCGGAGAAAGAAACAGTGAAATTCTCAATCTGTAATGTAACAAGTTAATGATCATCAATTCAATTTCCACTTCTGCCGTAAAAGAGTTGGGGGAAGGAACAATTTGTGTGATTCCTTGCTTGATGGGCAGCAATGGCTATTATCAGTCTGTGACTATGTAGAAGCTCTTTAATGTCATCAGTCCATCTTCTCCTAGGACGGCCTCTTGGTTTCACTTTAGATCTGTTCATGTGTAGTGCCTGCATTGGTAGTTGTTCTGGCTGCAGTCTTACTAAATGACCAAACCATTTGATCTTCTGTTTCTCAATGAATTTGCTGCATGGTTTTGTTCCTAAAGTCTGTTTGATAATATCATTTCTAACATAAAAAAGCAAATAAAGTAAGTAAAGAATTCCTCTCCAAGCCCTTATTTTTTTAGTATCAGACAGATATAACGTTGAAATAGGAATCAACATCACACAAAGCACTCGAAACATTCCCGTAAGTGCTCACTCCCTATCTTCAGCAGCAAGTGCAGAGTCCCAATTCTGATAGCACCATCCACAGTCTGCATGCATATCTGTCTCACCTTTTCCTTGAGTGTCAGCCATATCATCTGGACACTCCTTACACCAACACTCTCTCCCAAAGAGCATTCACACCATCTGGCTTGTCATGCAGACAGATAGTTAGCTCATTCTCTCTTAGACCTGCGATAGCATAATAATGGCTAGATACTCTCAGGTTGGCCTATGCCTTGTGTGTTGTGAGAAAGTTCTGGTTGTTCGTCCACTCTCACCGAATAGTCCTAAAGCATGTGCATTTATCACTTCTGACAGCAAAAGTCCAAATCCCCCAACAGGAGAAGGGGCGACAGAGTATCTGGCATTGTAAAACCAGACAGCTCCCTAGCAAGACAAGGTGCTGAAGTTGAAGGCAACCAGCCAGGAGGCACACCACAGCAATCAAGATGCCTTGCACAGAAGTCATGAAAATATATGTCTAAATCAGCAAAATGTTATGGTGCTTGCCCTGTGATTGACTCTCAGGCAAGAACAGTGCTGGGCCCTTTACTTCAAAGAGGCCCAACACCAATTACTGAACGTCTTTTTCAGATGTCCTGTGGAGCCAGGGGACATAAAAAATAGAGAATTTGGCCGAACTACTCCAGGACTGCACAGAATTTGACACATTTTTGCCAGAACGAAAGAGAGTGTAATGTAAACTCTATGGACCACTGAATGAACTAAAAAAACAACAGTGAAATTGACACAAGAAACAAAATTGTTGAAACAGACAACTTATTTCAGCTGAATGAAAGAAGACAAAAAAGAAGATGATCGTACATAATAAGAACATATCTTTGAAGATGGAGAGGTGGGCATGAAAATAATTACAATGTGAAAGTCACAAACAAATACAGGAGAAAAAAATCCAGAGGTGGGCATGAAAATAATTACAATGTGAAAGTCACAAACAAATACAGGAGAAAAAAAAATCCAGAGGTGGGCATGAAAATAATTACAATGTGAAAGTCACAAACAAATACAGGAGAAAAAAATCCATTATCTAAATTCATATGAACTACAATTATAATCCACAAGTGTTGAATGTGATATTTCTATTTTAGAAACTTTTTCATGAGGGCATATTATGCTAGAATAATATTTTTACAGATCACTGGGTGATGTGGTCAAAATTACGCTGGCAGCCTTTACTTCCCAGGATATTACCTGGTATAGCCATGTTAAGCTGAGTCGACCTGGGAGCCTAGGTCAGTTCTGAAAAATCCATCTTGGTGGAACCAAAGACCCTAGATTGGTAGTGAGACACCTCACAAGGAATCACACTCATGACATCTGCAGAAGCAATAGAGCTTGCTTCTACTCTTTAACAAAGATTGTGAATATAGGGTGGGTGTTTGTGAAACTGAGTGAGTGACAGAGCCAGACATATGTGTGTCTGTGTGTGTGTGTGTATATATATATATGTATGTGTGTGTGTGTGTGTGTGTGTGTGTGTGTGTGTGTGTGTGTGTGTGTGTGTGTGTGTGTGTGTGTGTGTGTGTGTGTGTGTGTGTGTGTGTGTTATGTTAGTAAGGGGAAACTGTGAGTGTATATGTAATTTAAACAGTGAGCAATAATTACCCCTAACCCCCCCCCCCCCCAAATTTTTTTTTTTACATTTAAATCAATCACTGGAAAACCCCTAGTATTACTGAAGTGAAAAACAAATATATGTGTATGTCTTATAGAAGAGAAGATAGAGCAAGAAAAAAGTCATACTTTCAACCCATAGTGAAGACACACAAGCCGACACCACTGGAATATCAGCTGCAGCCTCTGGTTCTCCATGATCAGTTTGGTGTCCCCTGAATCTCTACGGGCTGAAACAGGCAGACAAATATCTGAAGCAATGCACACACACACCCACATAATATATTCTATCTGTATTCAAGTTTCTAGATCACAGCCTAAAACAAGTGCAAGAATTTAAATACCTGGGAAGTATCTTTACATCTAATGGTAAAATAGACAGAGAGATCGAAGCAAGAATCCAACAAGCCAACAATGTCGCATACCAGCTTGCCCCAGTTTTAAAACACCCTGCTGTCCCAGCTGAGATAAAAAGACAAATTATAAATACAATCTTTATACCGACATTAGGTTATCAATGTCAGACTTGGACATTAACAAAAGAACATGAGAGAAGACTAACCACCTGTGAAATGAGATGTTTGAGAATGGCTGCGAATAAAACCAGAAGAGATCGAGTGAGAAACGATGTGATTACAAGAACTATTGGAACCATACCCATCGTTAAATTTATTGAGAAGCAAAGAATGAAATGGTTTGGTCACCTAATGAGAATGGAACCAACGATGCCAGCATCAAGAGCATACAACATGAAAATCGAAACAACAAGAGGCAGGGGAAGACCAAGAAGAAGATGGATTGAAGGAGTCACGGACAACTTGAGACTTCATAACATCACGGCATATGAAGCGACTGAGCGCGCCCTGGCTCGGTTGCCGATCATCTGATAGACTGCGACGCCTAGCGGCACAAGCAGATTTTGACAAAAGAAGAAGAAGATTCAAGTTTCGACAATAAAGTAATGAGACTAATCTCATAAAAATTGTAAAATCAACAGTTAAAGATACAACCTGTGTTTCAAAGTAAGCCCCTTGTGCATTGATACAGCGAATGGCACAATTTAAGAAACACTGGAACTGACTTTTCTAATGAGTTCCTCATTACGAACAGAAATCGGGCGTTTAGGTCTAGTTTCATTAGCAATCATTTCCACACCACTTTTGAATCATGAATACCACCTAAAATCAGTGCATGAGATAAACAATTATCCCCATAACCTTCTCGCATCAATTCAACTGTCTCAATGTCACTTTTCCTGAGTTTTAATGTTAGCTTTTTGCTCCATGCTGATTATGTAACAATGCACCTTTGCTAGGTCAACAAAATGGTGGCTTGTTTGTTGTGTGCTTATCAAGCACTCAAAAAATCAAGTTCTGGAACAAGACCAAAGTTCAAAAGTGGACCCAGTCTTTGAATGCTAAGGAGAAAAAGGCGCTTGCAGCCAACCTTCACCGTGGAGACGGCACCTGACTGATGAACAACTTACAAAGTACTAGCTTTGTGAAGCCTGCAGTCAAAAGCAGGTAAGGATTCCTTCATTCCAGTAAACACAAACTGTAAATACAGATACCTTGATAATCCTCAATGGCCAAAGCTCCGATTTTTTGCATAGCAATTTTCAATCGAAGAGACTTCATCAAAATGTCAATTTCTTCTTTCAGGTGTGCTTCATTCACAAGAACTGAGCTCTGCAAGATGGATAAACAAACGATGACAAGGTTATTTCTGTTATAACAGTTCTACTTTTCATCCTCCACTTCACTTGGTCAAGTGTTGGGGGATTATCTAAGGGTCTTCTGCATGCTTTTTTTATAAAGAAATTTGCAAGATGCCCCCTCAAGCTAGTGCTGAAGAGATCACTCCATCTTTGTTGTAGTTCATCATAATTCTTAAATGCAGTGTGACAGTAATATTCATCACCCAGTCTTTCTCTACTTATGTCTCAGTAACATTCATCACCCAGCCATTCTATACAGACAGTGGGACAGAAACATTCATCATTCATCCATTCTCCATAGACACTGTAACAGTAAAATTCATCTACCAGGGGTTCACCAGGTCTCTAGGAAATGGATACCAGAGTCAACACTCTGGGGTAAATGGTGGAACATCGCCATAGCTAGTTTCGTGCGGACAGTGACACAGGTGGACAGTTTCTTATCAGCTGTCCGTACTGGTTGCAGAACACTTATAATTTATAACCGTGTGCAATGACGCTGGCTCACATCTCCCTGACTTGACCTTTTTTTTTAAACTCCGAAGGAAATCTCCCTAATTGGTCGACTGTTATGACATACCTGCAAGTGGGTTTATTCTCTTTTTTCCCCACCCATTAGGATCTTTATGAATAATTCATGAAACAGCAAATATTGCCATTCCTCATAGTGACAAGAACCCTTAACTTGAAAACAAACAAAAAACACATTCACACACAGCCTACCTGGAAGTGAATGATTAGCTGCCACAGAAGTGACAGAGTCTTCTCCCTATGACCATCAACAACATCTCTTGGTGTTACTGAGCCTACAAAAAATACGAGGTAAACAAGTGCCAGTTAAATAAAAGCTGTTCTTTTCCGTTTTCCCTTACATCATATGAAAGTATAAAACAATATTTAATTCCAGCATTAAATCGGTACTGATGGACGGTCCCCTCCCTCTCCCCCTATTCCCACTTACCCCCACCCCTCTCCCTCCCCTTTACCCCCACCCCCGCCCTTTCCCCCCAAAAATTTCCCCCCTCATCCCTCCCCCCACCCTTATTCCCTCCCCTCCTGCCCATTTCCCCCCCCCCCCCCCCTCCCCATTTTTTCCCCCCCCTCCCATTTCCCCTTCGTATCCCCCCCCCCCCCCCATTTCCCCTTAATCGATAAATTTCCCCCCGGCCCCCCCCCCTCATCCCATTTCCCCTTCAACCCCACCCCTCCCATTTCCCCTTATCCCCCCCCCCCCATTGTCCCATTTCCCCTTATCCCCCCCCTCCCATTTCCCCTTATCCCCCCCCCTCCCATTTCCCCTTACCCCCCCCCTCCCTCCCATTTCCCCCCCTCCCTACCCCCATTTCCCCTCTCCCTCCCATTTCCCCTTATCCCCCCCCTCCCTCCCATTTTCCCCTTATCCCCCCCCCTCCCTCCCATTTTCCCCTTATCCCCCCTCCCTCCCTCCCATTTCCCCTTATCCCCTCTCCTCCCTCCTCCCCTTACCCCCCCTCCCTCCCATTTCCCCCCCCTCCCTCCCATTTTCCCTTATCCCCCCCTCCCATTTCCCCCCTCCCTCCCATTCCCCTTATTCCCCCTCCCTCCCATTCCCCTTATTCCCCCTCCCTCCCATTTCCCCTTATTCCCCCCCCCCTCATCCCATTTTCCCCTTATTTCCCCCCCCTCCCATTTCCCCTTATTCCCCCTCCTCCCTCCCATTTCCCCTTATTCCCCCCCCCTCTATACCCACTTGCCCCCCCCCCCCTTCCCACTTTACCTTTTCCCGGTGTCTCCCACCCCATTACCACAGACTTATTTACCTGGCATCAAGTTAAAAGCCAGACCCTGCTCCTGCAAGGCTCTAAAAAACAGCTCTATGTTGTGTATCTTCTGCAGACGGCTAATAGCAGGGGTTCTCAACTTTGTCATGATGTTGTGGTTACCAGCAAGAAATTCCAGGACACGGCTGAAACGCATTGATGAACATAATTCTAACCTTAACTATACAAATCTTCAATATAACATACATGGAATCCGGTCCTGCAGCGCTGACTTTTCTCATTATGTTAATTTTAGGGTTTCTATTGAATGTTTTAAATTGCCTTAATCCACTTGGTCCTGATTTCATTGCCTGTTTCGTACACTACTCCTCAAGACGTGCCCAATATAGCGCCATCTTATTTATAACTTTTTATACCAGTGGCTATCCAAACTTTCTTATTTCTTTATTTCTCTTGAATTTATCTTATTTAATTTCAGGCATTTTATTTTCCATTTTAAATGCATTCAACTTTTGTTCCATGTACTTTTTTTTTAAATGGTTCACTAATTTTTACTGCCAACAATAACTTTTGAATTTAAAATACTTGGTTTTAAAACTACATAATATGGAGTTACAAATTTTTTTTCAGGCTTTTCAAAAGCTACTATAAGTGGACAATGATATGCTTAAGATGCTAACCTATTTACACAAACTGGGAGTAAAGACACCTATGCCATCATCAAGGTTGAGATAGAAGACATAACAAAACTTTCATAGGAACAATAGTAGAGACACCTAAGGGTGGCTGCTGCATTCAAGGACTGAGCATGCATGGGAATACTGTTGTTGTTATCGATCCAGCGGCGCATGAGCTTTCACCCTCTGGCCATGTAGTGGAATTTGCATGCTTTCACAAGCTGTTCTTTTCCTCCGTACAAGGTGTAAGGGAAGTGGGGGGGGGGGGGGGGGGGGGGGTAAGGAAAAACATGTCTGGTCTCAGAAGGAGTCAGTAGCATGGGAATACTCAATGTGCATTGCAGTTGATTGTGGTAACATACTTTCTATGAGAAGTCATCATCATCTGTATCAGTGGCTCTCAACCTTCCTAGTGCCCTCATATTGTGGTGACCCCCAACCATACAATTATTTTTTGTTGCTACTCCATAACCTCAGTAAATGTATGTTTCCCAATGGTCTTTGGTGACCCCTGTGAGAGGGTCGTTTGACTCCCAGGCTGAGAACTACTGATCTACAGATAGGTCCGTGAAGCACGGGCATACTCATATACGCACTGGTAGCAGAACAAGCAGCCACGTATACAGTAATCATTCCATTTTCCCCAAACTTCCTTCAGAAAATCACAAGAGGTAGTTTACACTCTCAATGGGTAGAAAACATCCCTAAGTGGCAGCTAACCTCTACCACCTGGATGTACACATTTGGGTATGCAGGAGTTAAAGTTAATGTAATGAATAAGCCAACCAGCTGGCAAGTAATGCACCAATGCAAAACAACAAATAATAGGGAAAGCTGATATCATAAAAAATGTGTGGACTAGGCTCGTGAATGTTGAATTAAGAATTGACATCACAGCACTCGAGACACTCTCATAAGCGCTCTGAAACCATCCTCAGCAGCAAGTGAAAAGTTCAAAATCCGATGGCACCAGTAACTGTCTGATTGTATATCCCCAACACCTTTGCCTTGAGTGTTGACCATCCGCCAGATCCCCTGGTAACTCCTCGCTGAGCCATTCTCCTCAGACCGTGATGATCTATTTGTGCCACCACACTGTTCACTTGCTCCCAAAGGGCTCTCATAACATCTAGCTTGTCGTACATCAGTTCACAACCAAGTGGTGCAGAAAACGCCAGCCTGTCTGCCTGTTCATTTCCCAAAACACCGGTATTACCTGGAAAAAATATCCAAAGGACCCTAACTACCCTAGACCTCTGAAGCAATGCTTGCCACTCTGCACGAAGCATGCCTGTTTCTGCCTTTCACAATACGCTCTATGAGTCAGTTACAGTTACGACATGTGTGTATAGCTGATTCAATAGCCAGCAAAAGGCAGCCTTGTCAACCTTCACCGCCATTCTCAAATAGACATTGGTCAAGCTTTGCTGCACTAAGCGACGTCCATTCGCTTTTGCTACGAACCCCCATGCACTTTGTCTGCCTCTCAACACAGAGTCATCTGTATAGATAATCACATCCCCTGGGCTGGAATTGTCATGAATCATTTGTTAACTTCTGATTCTGCAGCACCAGCTAACCAGTCCCTGCACTTATGACCCAAGGTAATTAGAATCCTACATAAATCTGATTCTTGCTTGGCCACTTTAAATCACTCCTCTCCTCGCCCAAATTTATCAAGCCTGTACGCATGTCTAATTGTATCTTCAGCCTGTGCCATCCAAGACCTTAGGCTTTTCATACCTAGGGCTTCATGCAGGAGGTGCTTCTTGCACTCAGCTACTCTGCGATATGACTGCTTGCAGAACTTTGAGCCTATCAGTAATAGTAGGTAGTGCAAGCATACGTCACATACATATTACCAGGCAATCTCTTGTACATCCCTAAATTACCCGCAAGGCTTAAATCTTTTTGAGTTCAAGTTTCATCAGCATTCCAAGTCATCTATCCATTTCCTTATCTTCCAACTCTCTCTGTTGCCACCTGAAGATGGTATCAAGCATACAGCACATACTCCGTAGCTCTGGTGATGATTCTGGAACAACTTACATATGTATCTGCAAAACCCCACTTCTTGCCATTGTACGGGATTTGTTGGCCTTCCATTCATGTGCTGTGACCTTTCCCAGGGACTACAGTACCTTCTAGGGGTGTCAGGATACTGTGTGGAAGTTATCGTTTGAGGCCCAACAGGAAGACTTTGCCCATGTCTCTTTCCCTACTGATGAGTCAGGGAGTGTTTATTTCTTGTTTAGTAATGTTTCTGTGCGGAACAACCGTTTGACATATTTTTCGCGCGTGTGTGAACAGCGTGTCTTATGTGAGAGTATACACTTTGAGCATTGGTGCCATTTAGGATTGTGACGTAAAAAAGGCTGTAATTCTGCAAACATTATTATGGCTAAAAGAGAGAGAGTAATATTTATATATAATATATTTCTTGAGGCCTCAGAGATGTGGTTTTACAGAAGAATGCCTAGAATACCTTGGACAGCCTAAAAGAGCAACCAAGAGGTTTTGAAAGAGGCGGGAGCCCGAAGACAACTTATCACAGACATCAGAAGGAGACAGTCATAATTTTTCGGTCATGTTATGAGAAGAGGGAGAAAAAAAACATGTTGTGACCACTGAAAAGATCTGTGGAAGGAGGGATAGAGGAAGATAACGAGAGAAGATTCCTGACAGTCTTGTTGCATGGCATGGAGGTGTGTCGGCCCACAAACTGATACATGTTGCAGGAGATTGTGGATTATGGAGAGGCATGATCGCCCACGCCAGTCGGCAAGGCACCTGATGATGATGATGATATAATATATATAAAAGAAACCCACACCTTTGTGGAAAAAATGGAGCAGTGGCAGCCATCAGCTTTACAGATGCCATATTGCTATCACAGTTACAGTGCTTTGCTTGTCGGCCGCTCACGACATAGAACGCTTCGACGATAGGAAAAAAACACGACAATAGGAAGATACAGTATCCCATGGGTAAGGTCACAGCCCATGAATGGAAGGCCAATCTCCCTCAGGGGCGAGAAGTGGGGTTTTGCAGACACAAACATGAGCTGTTCCAATATTCTTTCAATGCAGGAAGTAAAACGGTCACCCTATTATTGCCTACTTGCTAGGGAAGAGTTCATAGGCGTAGGGCCGCCCCACCCGCTAAGGGGATGTTCCATGTTACCACTGTATAGCCCACAGTCATTCAGCCAACAGGCACATAGGTCCACCATAAGCTTAGGTTTTTTTAAATCAAGACTAGTCTTCTCTAAATCCGTTGTGTGTTGTGCCTCTTCAATCACACACAACAGTCTTGACTATATATGTTTTTTTTTGGTTTTTTTTTTTTAAATCAAGGGACTTACAACCTAAGTGTGCCCCTTTCACCGTATAGGGCTAGACCAAGCTCTCAAGGGAGAACAGCTGGTGTGCTCCACTGCGTGAGAGAATTGACATCTACAGCCCAGGATCTCTCTTATCCTTGTGTATTCTAGTGCAAAAGAATCATCGGTGGCCATATTCGCATATAGTTCATCTGTGTTGCTAAGGGCTCCAAGAACAATGACGTATGTGGGCTGCAAAAACATTGAACAATTAATAATTACACAGTATCTAACAAACACATCAACTTCCCTGCTGCATCCAAAGGTGGATCATGTTGCCATATGAGTTTGAACTGGTAAATGGTTTGCTTTGTGCAATGAAAACCAATATTGGGCATGATTTTTTAGCCTTGAAATAATCAGTTAACTAGCGTGTCCATACTGGAAGCGGATTGAGCCAACCAGCTGACAAGTAATGCACAAATGCAATGATTTGATTTGATTCAAGAACCGACTTCACAGCACTCTGGGCATTCCCATAAGAACTCCGTCCCCATCTTCAGCAGCCAGCGAAGAGTTTCGATACTAATGGTGCCAGTAGCATTCTGATTAAACGTCCGTCTTGCCTTTCCTCTGAGCCTGAAGCATCTGCCATAACCTCTCGTCACTCCCCGCTGCATCAATCTCACTGTACACACTCTCCCACAAGGCACTAACCACGTCTGCCTTATCATGTATCAGTATTCCACCAAGTTGTGCAGAGCCAGCCAGTCTGTCCGCCTGTTCATTTCCCAACACACTGGCGTACCCTGGTGAAAAAAATCCAGATAATACTCCTCACTCGTGTAAATGCAAATGCAAAGAAAAATGTAAAAAGCATACATCATCAACGCTGTATGGACTTGCCTAGCAGAGAATGATGAATATCTAACTTCAATGTGTAATGAAGTTGGTTGTGATAACATAAAATTTACGATGAGCAAAAACAACTGCAGGTCTAATAAACAATGTGAGAGGCAAGCCGTCAGTGACATACCATAAACGAAGACCATCTCTCAGGTCAGAACTGAGGTTGGTCACAGCAAAGTCAAATTCATCGATTGGTCTCTGACAGTGAACAACTGTGTAGCCCAAATATGCCAGGTGCCT